TGGGCGTTACAGTGACTAACGGGTTAAAGGCCCAATGTGAAACTTAGAGAACGAGTAACGTAAACAACCAAAACTTTGGAATTCTCATATAAGGCATTTTGCCTTTTTCTCCTTATTCAACGCATTTTTACCAGATTTCATGTCTAACAGACGGAATTCTCTGGTTGTCGTAGTCAGTGCATTTAGGGTATTTTTTTACAGCATGGAAAGATGGGCTGTTAATCATTGCCAAATTTGGTCCAATGTATTTTGGAAGAAGTTGTTCACAATCGGCTTAGCAATAGCATTCTGAATGCAAGCTCTCAGTCTCAGTGTTGCCAGCAGTGAGTAATTCCAACCATAATTGATCTCTACAATCCGTATCCAGTGACCATACCAATTTTTCAAACCCCCCCCCCCAAAAAAAATCCTTCCTTTTTGCCTCGGTGAATCCCCACAATAGGTGCTTGGCAGTCCTGGCACAGGCATTGTTCAGTCCTCTTAGCAACCCTCAAATAAATCTTTTTCACGGTTGATCTAGTTATAACTTACCCCAGGACAACTAAATACAGCAAAGTTGTGAATATGCGGTATCCCGCATAACAAAAGGACTGAGTAAGCATTGTTGCACGGTTGAGATAAAAGTACCAACGAACCCCACTTTTTTTGCTTTTTTCCCCTCTAATATTTGTTATATTGTCAGTGCAATAATAAGTTCGGGTAGTTGTACAGACTGTGAGGTGTCAGCACATTGGGTTGTGGGAAGAGGAAATTTGTAAAAAAAAAAAAAATTCTGAATTAAACAATGTCAATACAAAAGGAGGTGATTCACAAAGAGCGTTACAAGTCACATGATGATCTCTCGCTCTAGGTATTTGCCTAGTCACAAAATTTCATTGGTTTTTCCTATTCTGCTCTGTACACGTGATCATGCAGGCCCACATTTAAATGGTACCATGTTCATCTTTTGGGCCAATTTAAATGCCACACAAGTACAAACTAAAGTATAAAGTTTCAGTGTAGGCCTGATAGTAATATCTTCACACAGTGTTATTTCTGACTTCAATTATTACAGTATTTTGGACATGTTTTATTGCCCCCTCCCATTTTATTCCAACAAAAAGAAGGAGCAAGATATAGAGTGGAAGAGAGACTCAAACAGAAGAAAAGGGAGGGAGAGACCAAATTAATAGGGCAGTTCACGTCAGACCGTAGCCTGCTAGGATTAGTTGCACATAAGACGACAATTATATTGGGGGTCTGTCATACTTTTACTAAGATTAAATATCGACAGGACCAAAACTGCTACGAGACGCGCGCGTGACGAGACACAGGGCGCGCGAGACAAGACCTTTAAAATATGCTGTACATTACAGGAAAATGCACCCAGACCTCTCTTGCAGGGCGGCGATTAATGCGTATCGCTTTCGATCAGGACAGTGTCCCTCAAATGGATGAAAGTCCGAGACGGTAATTGTTACTTTATAGGCTTCACGCTGTGCGTGAAATTCTTTAACCTGCTAGAATTGGATTCTGGAAACACCCGGGTATGGTCTGCAAAAAGAGCAACATTGTGCACAAACTTCTGGTAGAAACATAGCTTTTGCTGTGCTGTGCGGCCAGCAGAGGGGTTATAAATAATATAATTCTCCCCCCCCCCCCCAGCCCTCTCTCTCTCTCTCTTTCTTCCAACCTGCAAACTGTTCTGGAGTGGTAGAGACTGTTCATGTT